TTTTGTTCCCTGGTATTTTTCTACGAAACCAATTGGATTGGATAACCTAATAAGTTATATACTGAATAAAATTAGAATCATGTCAATCCAATAACAGTAAAAGGTTATATGTCACATAAAGTACACTGTGCTGGGTGCTGTCTCTGTTTTTCAGCTTCTACCCTTGTCTTCAAAAACTTATAACTCACTCTTTACTTGGAGTTTTTGGATGAAACCAATTGGATTTGATAGTCTCATGGATTAGATACTGAATAAATTTAAAATCATGTGATTTTGACATCAGTGGAATTTTATATGCCATTTTAAGTGAACTGCACTGGTTTACTATTTAACCGGGTCGCTGCTTAATTTTGAAAAATATTTTAATACCCCATATGATGTCGACGGAAGCTAATTTTTGACTATGTCATATTATAAGAAGTTTACTACCTTACATTAAAATTTTATGAAGTTTCAAGGTTGATAGCTATGAAAACAAATTTATTTTGACAATTACTGTTTGAGACAAAAATTGGAACAACAATATTACTTCTTAAGTTTTGCCAAAATTTCACATCAATAATCGTTACATGCATGGAACCCATTCAAAAAACATTTTTTTTGAAATTGTTTTCTTTTAGAATTGAATTAAAGTTTAAATTAAAAAAATTCATTAATTAAATTTTAAAATTAAATCTTTATACTTTCTACTAAAAATATATTGAACTAATTTTACGGCTAAGGTATAATGGTTGAGTGACATTTCCGTCCATGCGGGTCGAGGCATTACAGTGTGGTATCAGAGCACGTGTTTAGTCAATTTTGTAGACCTAGTGTATTTTATTTATGAGATGAAAAAAGATGAAACATTTAAGGCACTCCATGGCATCTTGCGTCTATCAGTTGACCTCATCCGACGAACCCAAGGTATGGAATAAAATATTATGTTCCACATTATTTTTTCGAGCATGATTTTTTTTAATCATTTAAGCTTGAATCTATGAAAAATGCTTATGATGTTTTGAATGAAATATGCTATGTACATTATATTTTGTTTAAATATACGTGAAGAAATGATGATTGGCCATCATATTAGAACCTCAAGAAGGTTGATATCACTAATGAAGATAACACATAATTGGACACTTATGTGACAGACATTGCTAGAACTTATCAGACCGTTAGAATGGTCACAGTTTGTATAGTAGTGTTGAACCGTAGGGCCATCATCCAGTCCTATGAGAACTATGTGACTGACTCGTCTCGTCCACTTGTTGAACACGTACATGACATATACAAGAGATGTATGGCAGCTGTAGATGCGGGACTGAAGAACATGCATATCGAGACTATAAATAACCTCATAAACTCACTTCTACCTCAATGGAGAAACATGGGAGTCATGGTTAGGGATGAGATGCTAGAAGGTAACCATCTAGAGCACCCAAATGCAATTGAATTCGGTATATATTGCCAGATCCTTCTAGACAGGTGGAGTGAGAGCTTAGAACCTCAATCGGAGATAGTAATTGAGCCTGAGCTCGAGCTTGAACCTCAGTTTGAACTGGACCCAGAGGAAGATCTCGAATGGGAGCATGAGAATGACTTTGGGTTGAAATTAGAGAATGAACATGAGCATGAGCCACAGGTTGAGATGTACCTAGAGTCGGGGCCTGAGGCAACAGACTCCTCCAAAGATGAGGCTCCACCAAAGAAGATTCGCAAGATTCATAAGGATTATAAATTAGATTCCTTTTGATTGTGTGATCTTTCCCTTAATGTTATGGAAGTAAAGGTCGTCGAACTATTGTATATCTTGATTTCATGGAGTACCTTTAATAATAAAAAAAAATTAATTCTGGTTCAAGATCTTCGCAGGCTGAATCAGAATCCAGCTCTACCTATACCACCAACTCCTATTACTCTTTCGACTCATGCCTCGGTAGTTGAGTTATTTCAAAGGCATAAGCCCTCTTCATTCGATGGAGTATCTGGTCCACTAGTAGTTGAGGAATAGCGTCATAAGCTAGAATGAATTTTTCGGCTCATAGACTGCACTGGTGGGATTTGATGTCCCAAACTAGGACTCCGGAGCAGCAATTGGCAATAACTTGAGAACAATTCAAGGAGAAAGTGATGGACATATTTTCCTCAATCTCTAAGGGATTTCAAGGAGAATGAATTCCTTCAACTCAAGTAGGGTAATATGTCCCTAACGGATTACGAGCGGAAGTTCGACCAACTCTTAAGGTGTGCTCCACATCTGGTTGACACGAAAATTAAGAAAACTCGAAGGTTCGATCAAGGGTTAAACCCAAACCTAAGTATGATCCTTATGTCACATTGCTTCACGTCGTATCGTAAGACTCTGGAATGAGCTCACGCTATCTTGTATCAAAAGGCTAATGCAGAGCAACATCGTCAATTGTACAACCAGCAAGATAAAGGGCAAATTGGAAAGAGAAAGTGGAATGGTCAAGACAAAGAAAAGGGCAAATGGTAAAATAAGAAAGTTAATATCGGATCTAGCGCCAGTAAGGCCATGGTAGCTGCAATAGCGCCATGCCCTAAGTGTGGTAAGTCTCATCGTGGTGAATGCTTGTATGGGAAGAATGCCTGTTTTCAGTGTGGTAAATCAGGACATATTGCTAGGGATTGTCCCACATTTGCTCAGAGGAAGCACGATAACAATGATTAGAACAAGAAGGGAAATGATGTGAACCCCGTAGCAACGTTGACTATGAAACCTACAACGAGATTGACGAACCCAAGATAGCCAAATTAATCCAAGAGTTTAGGATTAACCCAAAAGAAAGTCGAACCAAAAAACCCAACAAGAACGATGCTTGAAAGACCCTTTGATCACGTAATCCAAGAATTAAATCTGGTTGTTTGAATGCCACAAGTTAGCACTTGATAAGTTCGAAATTGTTCAATGAAGAACGATGAAGAGAAGACAATACGCCTCACTTTAATTCAATATCAATAATGTCAAAAGGTTTTTTTAACAATTGAATGGAAACTCCTATTTATACTAAACCTAAAAACTAGGTAAAAATCGTGCAAAAGTCGAGCATAATCTCCAAAATATGGAAAAGAATCAAAATCTAACAAAATATCGCCAATTTTTTTGGCCCGTGCGGCCACATGGTGTTTTTGCTGTTGCAACTTACCATCGCCCCTCGGTTGCAACTTGGACTTTCTTTGCTCTGGAAACCGTTCTTTCCTAAGATGCACCCAAACCCAATCTCCTGGCTCGAATGTCACACGCTTTCTACCTTTGTTCGCCTACGACATAACCAACTTACTTTTGTTTTCAATTTGTGCTTTTACCTTTTCATGGCGTGACTTAATCAATTCCACCTTCTTTTTGCCATCTAAACTACCACGTTCATTTACAGGTAAAGGAATTAAATCCAAAGGAGTTAATGGATTAAAACCATATACAATTCCATCATCGAATTTGCCACGGGAGGTCCCTACGGTAATTAATCAAGCTAGGAAGTCATATGCGGCTGCACTTTTCGGTAAATCTGTAGTCTCTCAAGCTGAACGTAGCCAACGCAAATCACAGGTTTTGTAAGCCCCACTGGACTCCAATGACCACAGGTTCACCTCTAAGGAACCTTTCATGCATATGGGAGAGCCGGCAGTTGCCTTTACCGAGGAAGAAGAGGACTTTCTTTCTGAACCGTATAAATTTACTCTTGTTGGCAAATTCTCACGTCGCAAGCCCTCCATGATTAAGGTACGTGATAGCTTTCAAAAATTTGGTTTTTGTGGTGATTATATGATCGGACTTATTGATGCGACTCATATTCTAATACACTTGGCACATGAGGATGATTACTCACGCCTATTTCTCAAGCCCTCTTGGTACATCGATGGCTGTCTCATGCGCATTTTTAAGTGGACGCCCAGCTTTAATCCTAGGCATGAGACTCCTATTGTCCCTGTTTGGGTTTCATTCCCATTATTGCCCATTCACTTTCGGGCAAAGAGTAGTTTGTTTGCCCTAGCTAAGGCCATTGGACTCCCATTACGTATTGATGAGGCCACTTCAGATTTACGACGACCAGTGAGGCACGGGTATGCATTGAGGTTAATTTGGAGTATAAGCTTCCAGATAGGATTTGGATTCAGCGTGAAAAGTGTGGAGCATATTGGCAAACAGTTGTGTATGAGAAGAAGCCAGATTACTATTTTCGGTGCAGACATTTTGGTCATACTGAGGAGCATTGCCGCCCTGCACCACCACCTGCTTTAGTTGTTGACCCTGTTCTTAAGCCTACTATAGAGATGGCCAAGGATAAGGGTAAAGGAAAGGAGGTCCTTATTGAGCCTCCTAAGCGATGGATTCTAGTTCAGAAAGATCAGAAGAGGCAACACAATGCTAGCACATCTGGAGTTCAGATTCCACTTTCTGTGTCCACTGTCATCACATCAGTCCCATTACCTACTGGCACTAGCTCACATGCTCAGACCCAGCCATTTGTTCCTCCAATTGCTCCTCCCTCTGCTACAGCCTTACCAGTTATCAGTGTTGTAGATCCAGTTACATCTACAACTCCTTCAGCTCCTGCTTAGGCTATCAGTCCACCTATCACTCCATTTTATGATCCTATGTTGGATGAGATGTTGAAGAGGCCACAGACACAGAATTCTACAGCAGACACAGTCAGCAGAGCTTCTTACATTCCAGGCCCGACACCGAGTAGGGCTCAGGCACCTATTTCCACTTCTTCTCCTCCTGTTTGTCATCAGAATGTGGAGGCATCTATTCCATCTTTGCAGTCAGCGCATTCAGATACAGAGGGCTCACCTCAGATTGAGGTTCACCAGCAGGGACCTTTTCGAAGATCTTCTTCTGATGACTTGGTGGGTTTGGATGAGAGGACAGAGGAAGATGGATTTATCCCAGTTGTTCGGAAGAGACACCCACGGGCTACTGATACTCCACATCCGAGCAGAAAGATCACTCGGAGTCAGTCACATGATACCTCCTCACATTCCCCTTCCCTATGAATGCCATCATTTGGAATGTGAGAGGTGTAGCTAGTGTAGCTACTCGTCGACGCCTGAAGAAACTTATACAGCTTCATCAAGTTTATCTTCTAGTTCTATTGAAGCCTTTTGTTCTATGGCAGAATTTTGCATACACACGATGCTATCTGTACTTTGACATGGGAGCTCAGAATGAATCGAATAAGATCTGGTTTTTCTGGAATTCGGGGACTAATGTTACTGTTATTGTTGATCATCCCCAGTTTCTTCACGTTAGAGTTGAGGATCCCAGACTAGCGCGTGCTATCTATTTGACTCCAGTCTATGCGTCATGCGATGCTACTATCAGGAGAGATCTGTGGGCGGGTCTTCACCACATCTCCCTCGATATGGACGATCCTTGGCTAGTTGGAGGAGACTTTAATGTTATTACACATGATGGAGAGCGCACTGGTCATAATACCCGTAATCGTGGCACTACTACTTTCTCTGATATGATGTTAGACTGTGGTTTAGAGGATGCGGGTTTCATTGGAAACCGATATACTTGGACCAATGGTCGAGTTAGAAAGAGATTGGATAGGGTACTTATTAATTCTACAGCTGCAGCTTTTTGTTGACAGCTTACAGTGAGACACTTGAACGAACTTCATCCGATCACTCTCCTTTACTGCTTCAGTGGGTTTCTGATGATGATTTGGGGCCTAGACCGTTCAGATTCCTCAATGTTTGGACCAAGCACCATGATTTTTTAGCCTTTGTCTCCCAGAAGTGGTCGCTCCCTACTCATCTCAAAGGGATGACCGCTCTTTGGGAGAAGTTCTTCAGGCTGAAACAGGGTCTGTGCTAGTGGAACCCACATGTATTTGGAGATATTTTCCAGCAGGTGCGCGATACTGAGGTCCGGGTTGATGAGGCTGAGATAATATATGATAGAGATCCTACACCGGAGCACCGTAACTTACTACATCAGGCCCAGGCAGTTTTGAACCGGACCTTGTCTATTGAGGAGGGCTTTTGGAAGCAAAAAGCTGGTTCACGTTGGGCATGTGAGGGTGATCACAATACTCGATATTTTCATGCGATGGTTCAGGGGCGTAAGATCAAATCGCGTATCAGGTCTATCAGGACACAAGCGGGGGAAGTGTTATCTACTCCTACTGATATTCAGACCTCGGCTGTTGCTTTCTACCAGGATCTCTTATCTGCTCCTCCACAACCCTTGGACGACATCCGTTCTGATGTCATTCCGAGGCTATTGATGGTGGATGATAATCTGGCACTAAATCGTCCCCCTTTGATTCATGAGGTACGGGAGGCAGTTTTCAGTATTGATGCTGATAGTGTCGCTGGTCCAGATGGCTTCTCATCCCTATTCTTCCAGCATTGCTGGGATATCATTCAGGAGGATGTTTACAGGGCGGTATTGGATTCTTTGATGGTGGTCATCTTCCACGGGGTTTTGCTGCTACTTCTATTGTCTTGCTACCTAAGAAGGATGGTGCTTGTAGATGGACTGAATTCAGACCAATCAGTTTATGCACAGTGTTCAATAAGATTATTACTAAGCTTTTGAACACTCGGTTGAGTACATTGCTACTGCGCATTATTTCCTCCCCACAGAGTGGTTTCATCCCAGGCCGTCTGATTGGAGATAATGTTTTATTGGCTCAGGAGCTTCTCTACACTTTGGATGACAGAGTACGAGGGGGAAACACTATGCTGAAGTTAGATATGGCTAAAGCATATGATCGCATGGACTGGGGCTTCATTTATTCTGTATTGGAGGCATTTGGATTTGATCAGATCTGGATTGACAGAATCAGGCGGTGCGTTTCGGAGTGTCATTTCTCCGTATGTGGTTTCTTTCCCTCCTCACGAGGACTCAGACAGGGTGATCCTATCTCCCCATCCTTGTTCATCATTGCAGCAGACTACTTCTCACGCTTGCTCACTCAGAGGTTTCAGCAGTATCCCAGTATGTGTTATCGACATGGAGGTAGTACTCTTGTCTCACATCTCTCTTTTCCTGATGATATGATCATCTTTGCCAACAGTCAGAAACAGTCTATCAGGAGGATCTTAGACTGCTTGGAGCACTATGAAGGAGTTTCTAGCCAATTGGTGAATAGAGACAAGAGCGATATTATACTATCCAGACGGGCATCCACTAGTCAGATCAGACGACTAGAGATTTTGACTGGCTTCAGACATCAGCAGCAGCCTTTCACTTACTTAGGTGTCCCCTTATTCAAGGGGACTAAGAGGAGCTTCCTTTATGATGACCTTATCCAGAAGATAAGGAATAGGATATCAGGTTGGGCCTCACGATTACTATCGCCTGGGGGTTGTATTACATTACTGAGGTCAGTACTTTCTTCCATACCTTTACATCTTCTTCAGATTATGCAGCCGCCCAAGGCAGTGCTGAAGAAACTTGAGAGTATCTTTGCCCAATTTCTATGGGATTCTAAGGATCAAGCACGACGTCTACATTGGAGGAGTTGGAAGGCGATTTGCCTTCCTACTGATGAGGGAGGCCTCGGCTTTAGGAGATTACAGGATGTGGTGGACACCTTCTCCATGAAGCTCTGGTGGCTGTTCCAATCTCAGAGGTCATTTTGGGCTCAGTTTTTACTGGGCAAGTATTGTAAGGGGACGTATCCTTTACATGCAGCAGTTCCCAGTTCAGCTTCCCCTACCTGGAAGAGGCTGAAATCAGTTGGACCACGGACGGAACCACACATTGCTTGGCACCTTGGAACCGGTCAGATTTTCTTCTGGCATGATTGTTGGATGGGCGAGTCCACGTTGGCATCCCTATTCCCCCACAGACAGCACACATCTGCGAGGGTACAGGATTTTTTTTACGATACTGGGTGGGATTTTGGACGGTTATTACAGGCCCTTCCTTCTCACATAGCGGAACAGATAGGGGCAATACCTTTATGTGTAGATGCCCCGGACCGAATTGTTTGGAAAATTACTTCGGATGGTGACTTTACCACCAAATCAGCATGGCAACTAGTCCGTTCAGTTCGCCAGCCTCAGGACTCATATCGACTGTTGTGGAGCTCTATCTTGCCTGCCACTATTTCATTCTTCTGCTGGAGACTGTGGCAGGATCTCATTTCAGTAGATGTTGTTATTCAGAGGAGAATTGGATGTCAGTTGGCTTCTCGTTGTCAGTGTTGTTCCGAGATTGAGACCATCAATCATATTTTCACGAGCAGCAGCATCTCCGACCAGGTATGGCAACACTTTGGAGACATCTTTCAGATATCTATGACTTCAGGGGAGGGGGTCAGACAGAGGTTCCAGAGATGGCGGTATTCTGGACAGCACGTTTACCGTCGACACATTCGTATTATCATTCCTCTACTGATATTTTGGTTTCTATGGACTGAGAGGAATGATGCGAAGCATAGAGGTATTCGTATGGTGGCTAGACGTATTATTTGGAGGGTCTACCCCATGATCTCCTTTCTTCATATGGGAGGACTATTCCGAGTTGAGCATTGGCGAGGAGATGTGACACTTGCACTTTCTTTTGGCATTTCTTTGACCCGCACCACCACCTATTATGGTTGTTTGGCGCACTCCACCAGTTGGATCCTACAAGATCAACACTGATGGATGTGTCAAAGATGGATTTGCAAGTGGTGGAGGCATCATTAGGGACCACGCAGGATACTGTATCAGAGCATTCTCAGTATCGTATGGTCCATGTTTCATTTTGGAGGCTGAACTCAGAGCCATACTAGATGGGCTTCTATTGGCCAGAGGACTTGGGATTTCAGCTATCTGGCTCGAGGCAGATTCAACATTGGCTATTCACTGCATTACCAAAGGTGGAGGACCATGGTCGATTCAGGGTATTCTTAGACAGATCAGAGACCTCATCTACTTCGATAGAGACACGGTTTCACACATCTACAGAGAAGGCAACCAGGTTGCTGATTCTCTTGCTACAGAAGGCTGGAATCATCGGCGCTATCTAGAGTATGGACCACTAGAACTGCCTCGAAATATTAGGGCGATAGTGCGGATCGACAGACATGGATTGCCTAGTTTCAGAGGTTCGTAATTTAGGCTATTCTTTATTGTATAGGGAAGTAGTACTTCCTCATTTATTGCTTTCATTTATTATATTCATTCGTTGCATCACTGCTTTTTGGAGGTTAGGTTCATGCCCCCCTCCTTCCGTGTATTCCTGATTTTTATGAAATAAATATGGTTGGGGAACCCTTAACCCCCATCGACCTTCCTTGGTGGACCCTAAAAAGTCACTAAGGATGTGTGGATGTCTTTACAAAAAAAAACCCCATGTAAACGCACAATCTCTTTAAAGAATAAGTCAGCAATGTTCGTGGCATCGTTAGTTTTGTGACATGGTATAAAATGTACCATTTTGCTGAACCTATCTACAACCACAAAAATAGAATCCCGACCTCTCTTAGTCCTAGGTAAACCCAAAAAAAAGTCCATGGAGATATCAACCCAAGGCTCACTAGGTGTAGGTAAAGGTGTGTACAAACCTTGTGGTAAAACCTTAGATTTAGCCTTTTTACAACCTATACATCGACTACAAATTCGGTCAACATCACTTTTCATCTTAGGCCAATAAAAATGCTCCTTCAATACATCTAAAGTCTTTTGAACCCCAAAGTGTCCCATCAATCCACCACTATGTGCCTCCCTTACTAACAGTTCTCGAATTGAACAATTAGGAACACATAACCTATTTTTCCGAAATAAATACCCCTCATGTCTAAAGAACCTATCAACCGCCCCTTTAATGTATGACCAATAAATATCCAAAAAATCAACATCTTTTCCATATAATTCCTTAATATGTTCAAACCCAAGTAACTTAGAATCAAGAGTAGTTAGCAAGATGTACCTTCGAGACAACGCATCCGCCGCCACATTTTCCTTACCTTGTTTATACCGAATAACGTATGGAAAGGTCTCAATGAATTCCATCCACCGTGCATGCCTCTTGTTCAATTTACCTTGTCCCCGGAAGTGCTTTAGTGACTCATGATCGGTGAGTATTACGAACTCCTTCGGCGATAGATAATTTTGCCAAGTCTCCAAAGCTCAAACAAGTACATAAAGTTCTTTGTCATGTGTAGCATAATTTAAAGCAGCTCCACTCAATTTCTAGCTAAAGTATGCAATAGGCCTCTGATCCTGTATTAAAACTACTCCAATCTCTATTCCTGATGCATCACACTCAATCTCGAATGTTTTGTTAAAATTAGGTAATGCCAAAACAGGTGCTTCACACAATCTACCTTTAATAGTACTAAATGCAAGTTCCTGTTCATCACCTCAATGAAAACCTACACTCTTTTTAACTACTTCCGTGAATGGTGTAGTGATAGTGCTAAAATCCTTCACAAATCGCCTATAAAAACTAGCCAAACCATGAAAACTCCTAACTTCCGTTATGCTTTTAGGTGTCGGCCAATCTCTAATAGCTTTTATCTTTTCATCGTCTACTTCTACCCCATTAGCACTAACCGCAAATCCAAGAAATATAACTCTATCCATACAAAATGTGCATTTCTTAAGATTAGCATAGAGTTGTTCTTTCCTTAAAATAATTAGCACACACTTTAAATGTTCCAAATGCTCTCCTAGGTCTTTGTTATATATTAATATGTCATCAAAATAAACCACAACAAATTTTCCTATAAAAGCACGTAAAACATGATTCATTAAATGCATAAAAGTGCTAGGTGCATTTGTGAGTCCAAATGGCATAACCAACCATTCATATAAACCATATTTAGTTTTAAAAGTCATTTTCCATTCATCACCTTCCCGCATACGAATTTGATGATACCCGCTTTTTAAATCAATTTTAGAAAATATGCAAGAACCATGTAATTCATCTAGCATGTCATCTAACCTAGGTATAGGGTGACGATACTTTACCGTTATGTTGTTGATAGCCCTACAATCCATGCACATTCGCCATGTTCCATCCTTTTTTGGTACAAGTAAAATCGGTACCACACAAGGACTCATGCTTTCCCTCACGTATCCTTTGCTCATCAACTCCTCCACTTGCCTTTGAAGCTCCTTAGTCTCCTTGGGATTACTTGATAAGCCGGTCGATTTGGAATGATAGCTCCGGGCATGAAGTCAATTTCATGTACAATACCTCGACAATACCTCGAATAGACGGCAATCCACATGGTGCATCCTTCAGAAATACATCGTCGAATTCCTGCAACAAAGACTTAGTCAAACTAGGGAGGAGTGGGTTAGTTTCCTCAAAATTGAGGAGTGATTCCTTATAAACGAACAAGATCATCTTTCTTCTCCCAACTACCGCCCTCCTCAAATTACTCTCTTTTGCAAAGAAATTTACTTGTGTTTTCTCTCTTCTCTAGGGGCACTCTCTTTCTTTTCTCTCTTGTGATTGCTCTCTCTTTTTCTCTCTAATGGCTATCTCAACATTTTCTCTCTTTTTCTTCAACTCACGATTTGCTCTCATTTTTTCTAACTCTTTTGCTCTCCTCTCTTCCCCACTTCTCAATTTTAATTGGTCCTCATAGACTTGCGCCGGTGTTAATGGCACAAGAGTAATGGTCCTTCCATCCTTAATGAAACTATATCGATTTTTGAACCCATCATGCATAGCTTTCCTATCGTATTGCCATGGTCGTCCCAATAAAATATGTCCCGCTTGCAATGGCCCTACATCACACACTAACTCATCCTTATAACTCTCAATTGACAAATTAATTAACACTCTTCAATTCACCCTCATCTCGCCACTCTCATTCAACTATTGTAATTTATAAGGTCTCGGGTGTCTCAACAATGTTAAACCCAATTTTTCTACAAGAGATACGCTAGCTACATTAATGCAACTACCACCATCAATTATAACACTACATACCGTATTGTTGACGTGGCATCAAGTGTGGAAAATGTTCTCCCGTTGCAACTCCAAGTCATCCGCTTTGACGTAAGTAGTGAGAGCTCGCCTTGTGACTAATAGATCCCCAACGGGCCCTTCAACTTTTTCTTCTTCACTAACACCCTCCAACGCCGGCATGTCATCAAACTCGCCATCACTATCGCTCACAATCTCTCCATTATCCAACAACACCATCGCCCATTTGTTTGGGCATTGAGAAGCAATATACCCCATTCCCAAACACCTAAAACATTTGATGTCCCGATTGCGCAACGGTTGTGCCTCCAGTTTTGATATTGGTTTGCTAGCATTTTCATCCTTGCCCTTTTGCCAATCATTTTTACCTCTAGGTGCAGCCCCATTTTTGTTGTTATCATCCCACTTCGATTTCCATGTTGGATTAGGAGTCGAAGTACCTAACGATTGCCTAGACGTCCCCTTCCTCTTCAATTGCCCGTCGACCTTCATTGCCACATGTAACATGTCCTCGATTTCCACATAATGTTACAACTCTACAAAATTTGCAATATCTCGATTTCACCCATTCAAGAACCGTGCCATGGTAGCTTCCCGATCTTCCTCCACATTAGCCTGAATCATAAGAATTTTCATCTCCTTGTGATAATCCTCTACGCTTTTCGATCCTTGATACAAACCTTGCAATTTTTGATGGATTTCCCTATAATAGTGACTCGAAACAAACCTCCTTCTCATCAACATCTTCAACTCATCCCAAGTGCTAATTGGCCTTTCCCGACCCCTACGCCGTGATGTAAGTACTGGATCCCACCAAGAGATCGCGTAATCCACAAATTCAAGCACCTCCAATTTTACCATTTTCTCCTCCGAATAATTATAGCACTCGAAAATCATCTCAACCTTTCTTTCCCAATATAAACATGCTTCCGGGTAGCTTCTCCCCTTAAATTGTGGAATAGTCATTTTAATACTTCCCAAATTTCCATCTACTTCATCTCCCAAGTTATTTCTACCCCGTCTTTCCATCCTATTGCCCCTATGCCTCACTCAACCCATATCAATGTCATTTTCATTAAAATCATCCTCATCACTACAATACTTATCTCACCTTCCTCTCCTAGATTCAGGCCTACCCAGCCCCCTAGCATTAGACATCTCCACTTGTCCCCGACTAAGATTAGCAATTGTAGTACCCATTTGTATCATCCATTCCCCTTGCCTATCCACCTTTTCCTTAACATCCCCAAGTACCCTTTCAAACCTCCTTATCATGTCCTTCGATGCATTGTTGTCATTACCGTTTTAGCTTGAATTAGAACCTTCTCTTTCCAACATCATATCACACAAATTTTTTTATGCCTCACAAAGATTTCACTCGGAAGACACTCACTATGGCTTTTTCCCTCTATTAAACTCACCACTCGGCCTTTTACCACTCAAAATCTCCCTCCAAAGCACTTCAAAGAACCAAGTGAACTAAATCAATTATTTTACCGGCAATTCAAACAAACCGAATATTAATCAAAGACCACGAGACTAAAAGGACTTGAATAAGTGGAATAGATGAATGTTTTGACACGAATATGTGAATAGACTCAAAAGAAGAATGAAAGACTCAAACCCAATTGAATATCCCAAAAATCAAACACAATGTAGGAATTGTTGTTGTTAGGAAAAAAACACAAAATCAAACAATGACATCAAATTTTTTTTTATATATATATTTTTTTATTTTTTGTGAACAATACTTCGAGATGAACAATACCTCGAATGTATGGTAGCCCATTTTTTTTTTTTACTCTTTGATGAAAGAAGGTGAGTAAACTACCAACAACTCAACAAAATGATGAAAAAAAAACAAGAATGAAGAAAAACTAAGAAAGAAAAATTAACGACCCAAACAAATAAAGAAAAGATATAACCTTCAATTAATTTGGAGCCAAAGCTCTGATACCAACTGATGCGAACCCCGTAGCAATGTTGACTATGAAACCCACAACGAGATTGACGAACCCAAGAAAGCGAAATTAAACCAAGAGTTTAGGATTAACCCAAAAGAAAGTCGAACTAAAAAATCCAACAAGAACGACGCTTGAAAGACCCCTTGATCACGCAATCCAAGAATTAAATCCTGTTGTTCGAACGCCACAAGTTAACACTTGATAAGTTTGAAATTGTTCAATGAAGAACGATGAAGAGAAGACAATACGCCTCACTTTAATTCAATATCAATAATGTCAAAAGGTTTTTTAACAATTGAATGGAAACTTCTATTTACACTCAACCTAAAAACTAGGTAAAAATCTTGTAAAAGTCGAGCATAATCTCCAAAATATGGAAAAGAATCAAAATCTAACAAAATATCGAAAATTGCCAAAATTGGAAAATTTGCCAATTTTTTTGGCCTATGTGGCCGTATGGTGTATTTCCATGCGGTCGCATGGTTCAACAAAAATTCTAATTAAAGTTTCGGTATGCCACTATGCGATCGCATGGTGTTTTTGATGTGCGGTCGCACAGGCTTATTTTCAGCCTCTGATTTCGTCGCTTGAAACAAGTTGATCCAAGTTGATTCGACCTTTGACCCGAACGTGAAAATTGCTCCATTTTGAGTCCCGAACATGGTTCCATCAATGGTTTCTTGAAAGAGCAATCCCATCGCTTGTTTCACTTGCTTTGCCCTTGATCGCGTCATTAGTCCGCCATCGACTATCAACGGGTCTCGTCTCGCACTTGCCTTCGTCGGGCTCGACTCTTGGATCATATCAGGAAAAACACGAATTTTTACATTGACTTAAAAAGATGCAGAGGAGAACTCAAACATAATAGCAGGTATTTTACTGGTAGCCAATACACCTGCTTATATATTGTTTGGTTCAGGAGCTACTCACTCTTTTGTATCAACGTCTTTCATTGCTAAATCTAGTATTGCTTGTAATAAGTCAAAGAGTACACTAGAAGTTATCCTCCCCTCAGGCAAGACATTGAAAACAGACAAGTTAGGTAAGTCAGTGAAATTCGATATTGAGGGAAAAACCTTAGAAGCTAATTTGTATATGAAAGATATGAAAGACTTTGATATGATTTTGGGCATGGATTCGTTAGGATGTAATTATGGGACCATTCGTTGTAGAGAAAGGGAAGTATCTTTTCAAAAACCAGGGGAAGAACAATTTTCTTTCCTCGAAATAAAGACGAAACCCCATCTCCAACTGGTTTCGGCCTTACAAGCCGAGAAAACGCTGAGAAAAGAAACATCTCGAGGGTTTCTAGTTAATATCTTTGGAGAAAAACTAGCAACAATAAAGATTGAGGATGTACTAGTGGTACAAGAATTTATAGATGTGTTTCCAAAAGATCTACCAGGTATTCCACCAGATAGACAAGTGTAATTCACAATAGATCTAGTTCCCGAAGTGACACCAGTATCTAAAGCCCCATACAGAATGGCCCTAAAGGAACTTCAGGAGTTGAAAATCCAGTTACAAGAATTGTTAGACCTTGGTTTTATTCGACCAAGTGTATCACCATAGGGTACACAAGTATTGTTTGTAAAGAAGAAAGATGAAAGTATGAGGATGTGTATCGACTATCGGGAGTTGAACCGTTTGACCATCAAGAATAGGTATCCTCTCCCTAGAATTCAGGATTTCTTTGATCAATTAAAAGGGGCTAAGGCATTTTCTAAGATCGATTTACGATCTGAATATCATCAATTGAAGGTTAAGGCAGATGATATCCCTAAGACAGCTTTCAGAACTCAATATGGACATTACGAGTTCACAGTTATGCCATTCGGATTGACAAATGCTCCGACAGTGTTCATGGATCTAATGAATCGAGTATTTCATCAGTATTTGGATCAATTTGTTATAGTCTTTATTGATGACATTTTGATATACTCCAAGAGTAAAGATCAACTGAGGAACATCTTAGAATAGCATTAGAGATACTACGCAAGGAAAAGTTATACGTCAAATTAAAAAAGTACAAATTTTGGCTTGAACGAGTTGGATTTCTCGGTCATGTAGTTACTGCCCAAGGAATTGAAGTGGACCCAGTAAAGGTGGAAGCAGTAACTAATTGGAAGACACCAACTAATGCTGGTGAAGTTTGAAGTTTTCTAGGATTGGCTGGGTACTATTGAAGATTTATAGAGGGATTCTCCAAAATAGCTGGACCAATGACACAATTGACAAGGAAAGGAGTAAAGTAAAGTTCCAATGGATAGATAAGTGTGAGCAAAGCTTTCAGGAGCTAAAATAACGATTGATCACAACACCTGTATTAACCATACTTGAAGGTTCAGAAGGGTTTGCTATATATAGTGATGCATCCAAGCAAGGTTTGGGATGTGTACTGATGCAGCATGGAAAAGTAATTGCCTATGCTTCAAGGCAATTGAAGCAACATGAGCAGAACTACCCGACGTAAGATCTAGAACTTACGACAGTGGTTCATGCATTAAAGATATGGCGCCATTACTTACATGGAGGGAAGTGCGATATTTTTACGAATCATAAGAGTCTCAAATATTTCTTCACACAGAAGGAATTGAATATGATTCAGAGACGATGGTTGGAGCTAGTGAAAGATTATGATTGCACTATTCATTATCATCCGGGTAAAGCTAATGTTGTTGCTGATGCTTTAAGCAGAAAGTTAATGAGAAAGTTGGCATCATTACCTACTATTTCGATAGAGTTGATCAAAGACTTGGAAAAGTTGCAAATTGAAGTGATTACCACACCAGAACAAGTCACTGCTCATTTAGCAACTTTGGTGGTTCGACCTACTCTTAGAGATCGGATCATAAAAGCACAGGATAAAGACCCATTCTTGCAAAAGATCAAGAACGAGATTGGTACTAATAAGAGAAAGGATTTTGGAATAGCTTCAGATCAGGCACTAATGTTCAAAGGAAGAATCTGTGCACCAAATGATGAAGTTTTGAGGAAGGAGATATTGGAAGAGGCTCATTCCACCTCATACGCCGTACATCCTAGTGGTACAAAAATGTATCGACACCTTCAAAATACATTTTAGTGGAGGAATATGAAAAGAATTATAGGTTCATTTGTGGTAAAATGTATATTATGCCAACAAGTTAAAGCGGAACATCAAAGACGCACAGGGTTATTAAAACCATTAGACATACTTGAATGGAAGTGGAAGAATATCGCAATGGACTTTGTGGTAGGATTTCCAAGGTCAGCAAGAGGACAGAATACTATATGGGTAATAGTGGATTGTCTAACAAAGTCCGCTCATTTTCTTCCAGTAAAAATGACATTCAGTCTAGATTAGCTGGCGCAGTTGTACATCAGAGAGATTGTAAGATTGCATGGTGTCCCCGTGTCCATTGTATCTGATAGAGATTTGAGATTTATATCAAAGTTTTGGAAGAGCTTACAAGGAGCTATGGGAACGAAATTGAATTTCAGTACAGCATATCACCCTCAATCTGATGGTCAATCTGAAAGGACCATTCAAACTTTGGAAGATATGCTAAGAGCTTGTGTTCTGGATCTAGGAGGCAGTTGGGAATCGTTTATATCTCTGGTAGAATTTGGATATAATAACAGTTTCCAAGCAACTATTGGAATGACATCGTATGAAGCTCTGTATGGTAGAAAATGGAGATCACCTGTTCATTGGGATGAAATTGGAGAAAAGAGAGTTTTGGGACCAGAGATCATTGAAAGAACAGTTCAAGCCATTGATAAGATCCATACTAGGATAAAGGCCATGCAAGATAGACAAAAGAGCTATACAAATACTAGGAGAAAAGACTTGGAATTTGAAGTTGGAGAGAAAGTCTTTCTAAAGGTGGCACCAATAAAGGGTGTACTTAGGTTCGGCATGAAAGGCAAGGCAAACTACGACCTCGTTATATCGGACCTTTTTGAAATAATTGACAAGGTTGGAAATGTGGCTTATCGATTGGCGTTGCCACTTGAACTATCGACAGTTCACAATGTGTTTCATGTATCGATGATCAGAAAGTATATGCATGATACTGATCATGTGGTCAACTACCAATCCTTGGAAGTACAAAAAGACTTATCTTGTGAGGAATTACCGACCAAGATACTGGATCGAAAGGTACATAAATTACGGAACAAGGAGATTCAACTAGTCAAGGTGCAATGGAATAATCATGGAGTAGAAGAAGCTAATTAGGAAAGAGAAGAAGAAGTTAAAGACCAATACCCAACACTCTTTGTCCAACCATAAGGTAAATTTCGAGGACGAAATTTTATTTAAGTGTAAGGGTTGTAGTAGCCGAGAAAAATAAAATGGAATTATGCTAATATTTTGTGATGACCTAGCACCACGAGCCTAACCCATTTTAGAAACGACCTATGGAAGCTCAACCCATGTAAGATTACGAAAGTCCAAGTCATAAGTTAATTAAAAGCCCAGCAATTTAAAAGATTAAGTTTAAGTAAAATTGATTACAAAGATTTAATGAATAATTGGGTTGCCACAACGATCATCTACATGGTATTTTATATAGGCAACCTAGGTTCGAATCACCGTGTAGATGTTTTTTATAAAACTTTTATATGAATTTTTTTTATGGCTTAGAGACTCTTCAAATTCTTAGTTAAAGACTAGATTTGATAAATTTAATGATAATACAACTCCCCCATTTAACTTTTCATTAAAAAGAAAGGTTATAGAAGTGGAAGGTCACTTTTTCACTACACTCCTCTTCAAATCCGAATTTCATCTCATTTTCTCTCAAAAAATATATATTTCATATCAAGTTAAGCTAAAGGAATAACAAGGGTGAGAAGAAGGAAGACTTTCTATACATTTTGTTCTTTTATCCAAGAAAATTCAAGGTAGGTAGAGGTGCAAGTGTTCATTCGTTTTCAAATCTGATTTTTCGATAAATGTTTGAACAAAATGGTATCTTCGGGTACTGTGCTTCGGCACTACAACAGTTTGAATGATCATTCTCTGGCTCTACGTGTTATGATAATGCTATAGTTATTTGGATTTTCGCCGAAAATCCATCTACGTGCGACGGTATGAATCTATAGTTTGAAATTTCTAATTTGTTAACAAATTGCACCGATGATATCTATTGAGTTTCAAACTCATGCGTTACCCTTCCTACAGGTTGAATGGATTTTCCTTGGGGTGTAGATGATGGTAAAGGATGATGCAACATGTCATGGAGAAGCCGGTGATTTACATCTTTAGTTGATTTTGAGATGTTTACACTTTCTTTAAATTTGATTCCTATGAATATTGTGTGGATCTATTTTACGACCACTCGTTATGTATAAATTATGTTTGAAAGTAGATATGCGTCGTAGGAATAAATTTACAAATCACCGCATAAAAAAAAAGTTAGCGACTTAAAGTTTTGATGTCTCTTCAGAAATTTCAGTTTCTGCCCCATCTTTAAAAAAAATCATAACTCTTTCGTTCCTTGGTATTTTTATACGAAACCAATTGGATTGGATAGCCTAATAAGTTAGATACAGAATAAAATCAGAATCATGTCAATCCAATAACAGTAAAAGGTTTTATGTTACATAAAGTAAACTATGCTGGGTGCTGTCTCTGTTTTTTCAGCTTATACCCTTGTTTTCAAAAACTCATAAGTCACTCGTTACTTGGAATTTTTGGATGAAACCAATTGTATTTCATAGTCTCTTGGATTAGCTACTGAATAAATTTGAAATCATGTGGTTTTGACATTGGTGGAATTTTATATGCTATTTTAAGTGAACTGCACTGGTTTACTTTTCAACCGGATCGCTGCTGAGTTTTGAAAAATATTTTAATATCCCATATGATGTCGACGAAGCTAATTTTTGACTATGTCATATTATAAGGAGTTTACTACCTTAATTTAGAATTTGATGAAGTTTCAAGGTCGATAGCTATGAAAACAAATTTATTTTGACAATTACTGTTTGAGACAAAAACTGGAACAGCAACATTACTTTTTAAGTTTTGCCAAAATTTCACATCAATAGTCGTTACATGCATGGAACCCATTCAAAAAACATTTTTTGAAATTATTTTCTTTTAGAATTGAATTATTGTTTAAATAAAAAAAGAAAATTCTTTAATTAAATTCTAAAATTAAATCTTTATACCTTGTACTAAAAATATACTGAACTAACTTTACGGCTAAGGTACAATGGTTGAGTGACGTTACAAGCAAGGTCCTTACCGATTGAACTTTGCTATTTGTACACTAATTTTTGACATGTTGTTTGACACTTGCATTGTTGTTGAGTGTCGATTGGATGGAAAAATTGTTTGAAATTTAAACTGTCCAGCTGGGTAATGTCACGTGGTAAAGTGTAAACTACAGTGTGCACCATAGTATACATGTAGCAAGGTTCTTACCGATTAAAGTTTG